GGGCCTCTCTGCCAGCTCCACGCCCTCTGCCTGAAGCCCAGAGAGGTGAGTGACGTGCCCTCTGCCCTCCCCAGCCCAGGAGAGATGAGCTGCAAAAAGAAGCGGAATCTGGGAGCAGCTATTTGAGTTGGCTCGTGGGAATTTTTCTTTAGAGTCAGCTTACTCTGTGGCCTGCCTTGTCTCCCTCCATGGGAAAAGGACATCTCTGTCGGTAGGGCTTCTGTTTCCCTCCCAGGTGAAGAACGCTGCTCAGCGAGGTGAGGAGCTCACTTTCTCTGCCCTCCATCCCATCCCCAGGGCCCTCAGTGATGGGGCTGGAGCAGCTGCCCAGTCTCACTCGGGCTTCTAGGCTTTCAACCCCTGGGTTAGTTCATTCATGGAATAAACCTGGAGCCCTCCGCTGTCAAAGGCCCTCCCTAGGGCTCTGGGCACACAGAGGAGATAGGTCCCAGCCCGGCACTCAGGCGACGCTGGCAGAGGAGGACGACCACATAGGCGCTGGCTGCAGTGGACAGGTGCTGAGAGGGCGTTCAGAGCGCCGTGTGCCGAGGGAGGCCGGGGAGGGGTGCCAAGGGAGCCGATTGGACTTGGGACTTTGGGTAGATGCTGAGGCTCCCTGCCAGCCCCACCCAGGACTCGGTGTGCAGGTGGCAGTGGTGGCATCTCATTGCAGCATTGGCATCCAGCGAGCTTCTGCTGGACTCCTCCCAGCCACAGCTGGGGCAGAGGAGGTGCTGATAGATGAGCGGTGAGGACTGGCCGGGGCCTTGGGGTGCCCAGGGGAAGCCCCACTTCCTATCTGGTAGGCAACTGAACCAAGACTGTTGCAAAGTGGCAGGCCTCCAGGTGGCATCCTCAGGAGGGTGGACACCAGCGTCCAAGCGGTGAAGAGACTGCAGGGTTCACCCTTCCTACCCCCCTATCAGAGATGGGGAACTGAAGCCCAGAGAAGTGAGGGACTCGGCCATCATTAACACATCGTTGACAGAGCTGGGACTGGAACCCAAGGCCACTGCCACTTAACCTGCAGCACAAGATGCCAACTCCTGGCTGCCCTCTGAAGGAAAACAAGTCATGCATTTCCCCTGTTTCCCCCCCACCCCCAGCCTTCCCCCGCCTAGTTCTGGGGAGACGAGAGAAGGAACTTGGGGCACCTGAGGCATAGAGTAGGATGCAGTCCTGGACGTTGGGGCTGAATCGAATCCAACTCTGCCACCCTTGGGTTTAATGGTCTTGGCCCTGTCACCTCCCTCAGCCATTTTATCACCATCAAAACGGGAATGATGATGCCAAGCTCCCGGCTTGGTGAGGAGTTGGGGTGCTTTGGAAGTAAGTGCTTTGGAGGCCCCAAAGCTTTATGGGCCATGTGGGCAGCACACCTATCACCCGGCATGACAGGGAGGGACCTGGGAGCCCGAGGAGCAGCCAGAGCAGAGACCTGCTTTCCTTCTTGCTCAGCAGACCTTTCTTAGTGTCCCTCTGACCATGCCTGAGATCCCAGATGCAGATCAGACCCAGGCCTGGCCCCTGTGCAGCTCCCAGTGTGATCGGAGGATGGGCTTGTCATCAGTAGTTAGTACGAGGTGAGGGGCGGTGGAGCCCAGAGGGAGGATTCTGTTTCTCTGTCTTATTTCTCCATTCAGCTGGCCTCCCCTGACTTTATCTTCAGACAGATTCTCTCCAGGGGCCTGGACAGGGAGCGGGCAGGGCTGGGGAGGGGGCAGCGAAGTCAGAGGGTTGACGTGGGTGTAAAACAGCCTGACAGTTCCAAGCTTGCATGGGCCTTAGAGTTGATCATCCTAGTGAAGGAAAGATGGCCTCTCTCCAAAGACTCACCTTATCTGGGTTTTGAAAGAAGTGCTGCCTTGTCTCATTGTCGGGGTTATCAGGTGGGCAAGGCAAGGAGGGGCTTTCTAGACAGAGAAGCAGTGACTCCATATTTCTTAGTCTCACAGGGGGCTTCCACTGGGGCTGGGGTCAGCATCACGGACAGGCCAGCACACGGGGCTGGTCTCCTTGGTCAGCCGGGTCTGACTCTTGCGGACCGGAGGCAGCCGAACAGGCCCAGGCCTGAGGAATGAACGCAGTGGTAGCTTCCTCCTGGTCTTCCGTTTCCCACTTCGTTGCTAAGCTGGCTGTCGGCCATAGTTGGGACAAGGCTGGGTGAGAACAGACTGGATGGTGTGGGGAAAGCCTGGCTCTGTCCAACTTGCTGTGGGTCCTGGGGAAGTCTCTTAAGCCCTCTTCTTCCTGTCAGAGTCAGGATTGGACAAGACGGTCCGCAGTTCCTGCATGCTGCCCTCATCTCATTGTCAGAGACCTCGGATAGGCTGAGCAGACCCAGGTCTTTCCAGTTGTTTCTCTGGGGGGTATGTCATCAATGGGTGGCCCTGACCCAAAGGCAGGGGCTTGACCCCAGCCCTTTCCTTAAGTTCTGTTCAAGCTGTTGGCCTTGGGGTCTGTTTGCAGTAGGAAGTGACCAAATAAGACAATGACTTATGTCCTTCCCTCTGGTGCCTTCTCCCCCCTCCATCCCCCCCCCCCCAGCTCCTCCCTCTGTCCTGGCCCCCACCCCAGACCTGCCCTACCTGAGACTTTGGACTGAGGATCTTGCTAAAATACACATTTTGACTCAGAAGATCCAGGCTGGGGGCCCAGATCCTGTGTTTTTAAACAGCTCTCAGACCTCACTTTGAGTAGGAAGGTGCTCGAGTTCATTCTGTCTTCTTTCCATCCGGGCACCCAGCCTGCCCCAGGCCCACGGCTGGGACTTTTCCTAGCCCTTAGCCTACTCCTAGCTGCCAGGGCCCCTGCCTCACTTCCTCTGGCCCAGTTCAGGAGGCAGAGCCAGCTGCTATAGGGGGTGAGTTGGAAGGCCAGCCCTTGGACCAAGAGTCCAGGCCTATGCTGGGGCCTCACTTCCCTCCCCTGTGTCCCTCCCCAGGTCCTGAGCACAGCCCACCCTTGGACCTACTGTGTCCCATGGGCACTCAGCACCTGCTATGGGGGAAAGGGAGGTGCCCTGAGCAGGCGGCAGGAATCCTGGATTCCGACCCTGGCTCTGCTGCCTGGATAACCCAGTGCAAGTCAGCGCTCCTCTCCTCAGTCTCCCTGGTGGTCCAATTGGGCTCTTCTAGAAACTTCGAGGGCCCTCAGTCTCCAGGATGGGCATCAGGAAGGTATAGAGGTGGAGGAGACCTGTGGTGGGAGGATTTTTATCCAGAGAGGGTGAAGGAGCAGTCACGTGTCAAACCTCTGGAATGCCTCTGTGGCCCAGGCTCTTCAGTTGCTTTAGTGATTTTCCATACTGCCACCTCTACCACACGTGTGCCTTCGGAGTACTAGATGCTACTGAGCACTCAGCATGTATCCTAGCCTCTCAGGGAGCCCTCATGATCTTGCCTGGGGTCACAATAGTGAGTAGAACCACGATCTGAACTGGCATCTGAGTCCTGCTGGACCAAGCCCCCTCCCTCTCACCCACCAGAGCAGGCAAAGAGGACAGGACCGGTGTGTCTGCCTTGAGTTACCTGTGTTCCTCCTAAAAGTCAAAGCAATTGCTGACTTTCAGCTGATGAGCATTAAAGTTCCTTTCTAAGCTCTGCTGTGACCTGGCTGCTCTACAGATTTTGAGGAAATGCAAAGGCTTGAGTTAAGTCCCTAGACCACATGTGTCAAACACAAGGCCCGCGGGCCACATCCGTCCCGCCAGGCCTTGCAATGTGGCCCGCACCGCGCTGTCATCACTGCACTCCGCTGCGTTTCCATCACAATGACAGTTTATGACTGTTCAGTAAACCATTCGGCCCGCGATTTAGGCTGGATTTTAGATTTTGGCCCCTTCTCTGATTGAGTTCGACACCCCTACCCTAGACCCCTCTCCCTCCCACTCCCAGCAGTGGGCCAGTGTGAAAGGACAAGATGGTGATGTAGTACCTGGAGCCTGGACGAGTGGGTGGTGTGAAGGGATGTTTGATGACTACCCAGTAGGCACTCAGTGAAGATGCGGTGAGCGAGGGGCATGCGGTTGGGGCTTAGCATTCGTGGGGTTTGAACTGTTCCACTCCTTTGGTCCAGCTGCTGGAAGGAATGGGGGATGGGTTAGGGGACCTCGCCCGTGCCCTCCCCCATGCCGCCTCTCTTGCAGTCACCAGGCTTTCTGGCCTCATTGCCCCTCAATCACTGAAGTCCAGGGTGTCACCCTGGGGGGCACAGCCACAGAGCCAATTAAGTGAGCATACCTTGCCCTAACTTCCAGGCTTGGCACATGCTTGGCAGTGAACATAATTGCAGCCCTCAGGGTCCCAGGCTGCCTGAGCTCATTGGCCAGCAGGTCCTTTGCAGAAGCAAAGGCTCTGGCCTGATTCCTCTCTGGGCCCCAAGCCTGGAGCACTGAGAGGAAGCTGGAAGTGTAAATCCCTCTGGTGGGGCCAGTGGTGGCGGGCTTGGTGGTTTTGGGGGTGTGGGCAAGAGGCCTCAGGTCCTTGGAAAGGGATCAGTCCTGGGGATGAGGGCGTGGGGTGGGGATTCAGAGTGCTCAAAGTACAGTTGAAGAAAAAACATTGCACACTGGATGTTGGACCTCTGTCCTTGGCCTCCCAGACACAGATAGCAAAGGTTAAATATTTGTACTAGATCCAGATAAAGGATACGGACAGGGGTTTGATGGGGGTGGAGGGAAGAGAACTGGCAATCATGGAGAGCTTCCCCCAGCCTCTTTGGCTTCCTCGTTTGGTCTCCAAAACCCTATGAGGGGACACCATTCCCACTGGGTTTGTATAGACACCTGGGGTCCAGGGAGGCATGCGAACAGCCCAGAACTGGTAGCTACTGGGTGGCAGGGCTAGAATGTCAACTCGTGTGTGTGTGTGATTTTGTGACCCGTGCTCCTCTCCCATCTGGCCAGGTGCCTGTTGGGGGGGGGGGCGGGTTGGTGCTGGGGACTCTGAGGCCGGAGAGAAGGGGCGCAGCAGACTCATGTCTCCCCCCGTCTGTTGCAGGCACCGGCTCCAGCATCCTCTCTGCCCTCCAGGATCTCTTCTCCGTTAGCTGGCTCAATAGGTCCAAAGTGGAAAAGCAGCTGCAGGTCATCTCGGTGCTACAATGGGTCCTGTCCTTCCTTGTGCTGGGTAAGCTGGGGCTCCGAGGGGGAGGGCAGGCAGGGGCCCCCTCCCCAACATAGGTTAGAGCAGGAGCTGTGCTCTGCAGGAGTCCGGAAAGAGCATCCTCCTACTCACACCTTTTGCATCCCAGATTCCGTGCTCTATCCTAGGCCTGCGGGAGGGCCCAGGGAGATTCAGTGGGAGGAGGTGGCATGGCTCCCATGTTGCAGATGGGAAATCCAGGTCTCAGAGAAGGTAAGTAACCTGTCCAAAGTCACACGGATTTGAATTCACATCGATAGGACCCCAAAACCTACGTTTCCCCCATGGGCCACCTGCCTCCTGCAGACATTTTCTGGAAGACTTTACCACAAGCCAGCTCTGTGCCCCTACGCAGGTTCTGAGCTGTCTGAAAGTGAGTTTCCTCATTTTGAATGTGAGGAAAATGCAGGCCAATTCGCATGGCTTTTGTGGAGACTCAAATAAGGAGTGAGAGCAGCCAGTACAGGGCCTGGTCCCGGGGAGCCCTTACTCACCCCCGGCTGAACACAGTCCCTGGCTGCTTCCTGTAGCCCATGCAATGCCCCCTCCTCTTTCTCAACACCTCCCACGTCAGTGCTTTGGGCGCTGCTTCTGTAAGTTCTTATTGATGCCCTCTCTCCCTGGTTGGCATCTAGACCAGGGGCAGGGCATCACCGATTGTGTGGGAGGAGGGGAGGCCCCATGCCTGGGGTAGGCCCTGCCCTCCCAGCAGCCTCTTCTCTTCTCCAGGCCCCCATGCCACCTGCATAATAAGTGGCTTTCCCAGCTCACAGGCAGACAAACTTGCTGCGGAGCAGCATGGAGTACATTCCAGCACCCGTGGGCGAGTCCCTGTGGGTGGCCACTCTTCAGGACTGCCCGTCTAATGGGAGCGCTGAGCATCTGTCCTGCCAGGGGCACAGGGGCCTCGGAGACCTCCTTTCCAGGCAGCTCTGTGCCGCCCCTCCCTCCCTCTGCAGGGCAGAAGAAGGGTGGCACAGGTGCTTTTTATCGAGTCCCCAGGTGTACCGGGCACCAGCTGTCTTTCCTTGATGTCTCACCTCACCAGTGAGGAAATAGAAACTCACGGAGGGTCAGTGAGACTCTGAAACAGCTGGTCTTCACCTTTAGACCCAAGAGTGGACTTTAGGGGGTTCACGAACCTCTCACATTAAACGCAAAATTATATGTGACAGTTTGTGCATTTGTTTTCTGGGGTGAAAGGCAATCGCTGTCCCCACATTCTTACAGGGACATATGGGCTCAAAAAGAGAAAGAGCCAATTAAACTGCCTCCCTCAGGGCTCAAGCCCCCATCTCGGCCTGACTGCGGCTGCTTATTTAGAATCTTAGAGTACAGAGCAGTGTATCCCCTTCATTTTCAGGCAGGAAGTAGGGGACCAGGGAGTGGGGGGGGGGGGGGGAGGCAGCGCCTTGCCCAGCATCACAAGAGAAGGAAGTGGGGCCAAGAAAAGACGCCATGAGCCTCCCAGATCCCCGCCTCGGATGCACCAGCTCCCTTAGTCCCCATCTGCACCGAGGAGCCACCACTTTCCCTGTTGTTGTGGGTCAGAGCGTGGCTGATGGGGAACTGGGCAGCTGGTAGAACCCCAGCCCACGCAGCACGCGACAGTCACTGCCCCCGAGCTGTAGGTTAACAATCCATCCAACCCAACCACAGCCCAGAAACCGGCCCAGCATCTTCCCAACGCCCTCATGTAGGTGGGAGCCACGCCCAGTTGGAAGGACAGGTTGGCTGAAATGCTGCTAATTATTGCCCTGAGCACCCCGCCTCTCCCTCCCTCCGCTGCCACCCAACTCTGCTGGCAGAGGTTGCTGTGGCCGCATTGGCCTTCCTCTGGCATAGAGCCACTTCACCATTTTTCTGTGTAGACTCCTCTGGCATTCTGATCATGGCTGTCAACTTCTCTCGGTGCTTTAAAATGTGTAGTACTGAGTGTTGGATTTAAAAGGAAGCCACCGATATAGGAAATTGAGGATGCTGAAATATAACTATGCACACATTAAGAAATCAAATTAGACATATAGTAACCCATATGTGCTTTTCATTATTACGGTAAATAGATCTAGCAGCAGGACTAATCATTACTTTGATTCTCAAGTAGTGATGCGAACAAATGATTTTTCAAGATATCCGTACCTGCTATAAATGTGACAAAAACACCTATGTTTTCTATTGGCGTCACTGTCAACAGCACTGCTCATTCTACTGTGGTCTCTTACATTTGTCCATGAAGGAAATACTACATTTCCATCAGAGACGGGTAAAAATTAAGATGTCCTTTTCCCCCATCTAAGTCCACAAGTCTTTTGATGGGACATGTAACTATGTGTTAGGTCCTCTTCACACGCAATCTCACATGATCTTCCCAGCACCCTGTAAGGAGGTTGAGCGTCAGGGATGGGCTGTGGCCCGTGAGTGGCAGGGCCAGGGTTTCATGGAAGAGCATGTTCGTGCTCTTCACAGACCCTCTGCCCCCTCTCTGCCCTGCGCCAGGGGGCAGAGAAGGTATGGCCCCCTCGGGTGGAGAACTCAGAGGTGAGGTCCACATGGCGGGGCAGCATCATGTTGGGGAGCCGTCTTGAAGAGCTGAAGTCTGAGCGTCTGAGGCTGGGAAATTGGACAGACCAACGCCTGCTGAGGGCATCTCGGGTTGAGCCATGAAGTAACCCAGGCTTGGCATGGCCTCTCCTTCCCTCAGTGCCAGGTGCCAGGTTATTCAACCTTCTGGGTAGCAGGCCCGGAACAAAGTGAACGCAGGAAAGCTGGCCCCAGGCAGGCTTCTTGGTATCCCGCTGGGGGGTTGAGAGGTGGGGCTGATGGGCTCCGGGCTTTGGCCAGGGGCCGCCTGGCACTTCCTCTCCTTGGAGGTGGCCAGCCCTCCTCCGCCGGGGGCAGGGATCCTCCGCGCTCATGTGCCTCTGGTGGCAGTCTGGGGCTTCTAGTTTTTGGTAGATTACTAAAGCCCGGTGCAGATGGTGGTTTGAATCCTGGCTCTGCCACTCTCTTGCCGGGCGACCTTGGGCAAGTTACCCTCTGGAGCCTCAGTGTTCTCATCTCTAAAACGGTGTCCAGGTCACCCTGCCTCACACCGAGACCGTGGCTCAGCCCTCGTCCTGGGGGTAGAGGCTCGTGGTAGGTCCCTCCCTTGTCCGTAGTAACTGTGCTGGGCACTGGGGTGGGGAGAGCATGCAGGAGAAGACAAAAAGAACAGCTCTAAGCACGGCTTCACAGGAAGCTGAGGTTCATCTCCGACGCTATTGCCAGAGCAGCGTGGAGCCCACCTGTCCCTCAACACCAGGATCTCCGAGATGCCCTTGGCCCTGATTCCTCCCCAGGTTATGCCCATGGCTTTGGTGGTGCCGAGCTTAGCACCAGGGTAAATGCTCATTCAGTCGCTTGGTGAGGCTTTGCCCGGGGGAGACGGAGCCCCCCCCCCCCCCCCCCCGGAGGACAGGGCCTGACCTGTGCCTCTGCCTGCCCTCCAGGAGTGGCCTGCAGCGTCATCCTCATGTACACCTTCTGCACCGACTGCTGGCTCATCGCCGTGCTCTACTTCACCTGGCTGGTGTTTGACTGGAACACGCCCAAGAAAGGTAAGGGCATGGGTCTCCTCGCCCCAAGCCCTCGCCCTGGGAACCCCCTTCTTGCACAAGCTGGGGTTCCTCATTGTGGGTGTTGCCTCTTTTGATTTAACATCTTCTGTGAAAATACACTAGGCTAGGCCAGGGGGTGAGGGGAGGGGTGTTGCGGAGGGTTAAAAGCACTTCAAAGGAGCCATCCTGGTCCTCATAGGAGCTCACACTCAATCAAGGGTTTGCATAACACGAGGGTTACGAGCATGGCCTGAGCCCAGTGGGAAGGGGGGGGGGGGGGAGATGTTGCATGGGGGTGGGGGGATAGTCACCCCCGTGGTTTACACTGGTTGTGTCTTGTCTTTTTGCCCAAACACCCCCTTCCCTGATCCCCACGCCCTTCCAACACTGTGTTTTGTTCTCTGGAAGGTGGCCGGAGGTCACAGTGGGTCCGAAATTGGGCTGTGTGGCGCTACTTTCGAGACTACTTCCCCATCCAGGTAAAGATGTTTGTGTGTTATCGTGGGAGGGTGGGATGGGGTGGGAGATCTGAATTCGAGCCTTAGCCCGCCCATCCACAGTGACCACACATGCTGAGGAGAACCATGTGACATCTCCCACTGTGAGCATCTGTTTATACTCCTCCCCAATTTGTGCAGGATTTGCATAAATCACATCCCCATGCCCTGCTAATTCTTCTGTGGCCTCTTACATACCAAGTAAATAGAAAAAATTTCATACCAAGTAAATAGAAAAATCAAGACTTGGGGGGGAAATTCTAGTATTTCAGCCATAATGGTCAACAAAGTAGTGGTTGAACTTCATCATTAGCTCTAAGCTTCCTGGCAACAAAGGCAAAAGGGGAAACATGATAGTTGACTCTTGTTTTCGGAAAAGAAGCAGCTTACTAGTTCCTCGGGGAAATAGGACTTAGTACTAGTTCTTGGGGAAATAGACCCTGAGACCCTGAGTGATATAAGAAGTAGGTGTCATAGCAGATATTATGGCCATTGTCTGCCTGCCTTTCTGTGAATATTAAAGGCCTAGCTTAAAAAGTGAGGTCATTTATCAAGAGCAATACTGAAGAAGTCCAAGTTCATCTGGGCCGCACCAAGGATAGCACTGAACCGAGAATAACAATAGGTGTGAGGGGCTTGCTTGCTTTGGGAAACTCCTATGAAGTAGCATTTCTCTCAGCCAGTCACCGGTGGGTCACCGGCGGTCATGGCCATGGGAATGAAGGCCCATGAGATGTGCAGCAAAAGAAGAGCGAGAACCTAGTTCCTGAAGGGCCTGGAGAGGCTTCTGGAGAAGCTGCCCCTAGAACTCCATCCCAAAGGGAAGCAGCACTGAAGAGGCAGGGGCAACACGGAGCGCGCAGGCACCCCAGTTTGAGAAGAAGCCTGTGGCGCGGAGAGGGAGGATCATATTTTTAAAAAATATTTTTGTTGATTTTTTTACAGAGAGGAAGAGAGAGGGATAGAGAATTAGAAACATCGAGAGAGAATCATTGATCAGCTGCCTCTTCCACACCCCCTACCGGGGATGTGCCTGCAACCAAGGCACATGCCCTTGACCGGAATTGAACCCTGGACCTTTCAGTCTGCAGGCTGACGCTCTATCCACTGAGCCAAACTGGTTTTGGCGAGGATCACGATTTATTGGGATACTTCTAAAAGCCAGCACCTCCCCCCTTCCTGGCACTCTATAAGGGATACTAACATTATTCTTTTTTTTTTTTTTTTTTTTTTTTACTTACAAAAAAGGAAACTGAAGGTCAGAGTAGCAACGCTGACTGAGGCTAGTGAGGGGTGGAGCCGAGATTCTAATTGCTATCTGGCCTCCAGGTCTGGGCTCCTGCCACCACAGCACACTGCCTCCCTGTGCACCGGAGCCGTGGGGAATAAACGTGGGCAGACGCTCAGGTCTCCTGCATATTGGAGGACAGAGGCAGCAAAGGCCCAGGCTGACCCTGGGTGAGGCACCAGCCCTGGCAGGGTTCAGTCTCCCCTTACCAAGCAAGTTTAGGCCGAGTTGGTGTCTGGGTTTCCTTCCTGCTGCACCATGAGCTGCTCTGGGACTCCCACCCGGTCTTCTGAGCACCCGTCGTCGTCTCTTCTCTGGGGCCAACCTCCAGGTCCTGACAGAATGAATGGTGGCATGGTCTGGCTGTCGGCCTCGTCTCTGTCCCCCTCTGCAAGCTAGCTTGGCAAGGCAGAGGCATCTGGGCCCTGGTGCATCTGGGTGACTGGTAGATGGTGGGTGAGTCCAGCAGAATCCTGAAGGTTTTTCCTGCAGGGGAAAGACCTGTCTGGCCAGCTCACTCAGCACCCCAGCCCCGGCACACCCTCGCTGCTGAGGCAACCCAGCAGAGAGCAATGGTGGCAGCATGTGTGACCGTGAAAGTGTGCATGACACAGGGTGGTGTGTGTTTGCTGTCGTGAGTCAGTGACTGAGACATCCTGGCCTGCTGCCTGGGGGAGGTGGCTGGTTGACCCCCACATTCCTCCACTGCACCCAGTATTATGTGTGTATGTGTGTATGGTGGGGGGAAAGGGGTGCCCTGGGGCCAGCTCCTTCTGTCTACCCAACCTGAACCCAGTTTTACCAGAATCTTCAGGGTCAGGGTTCTCACTCCTCCCTTTTCCTGAGGAGCCAAGGCTGTTGTTGCTAGGAGAATGTTGCGTCAGAGGAGGATGTTGCATCATTTTGGAGGTGAGGAAACAGTCCCACAGAGGGGCAAGGACTGGTCCAGGTTGCACAGCGAGTCCACCCAGCATCAGTACTGGAATCCAAACCCTGGGTTCTCTCCCACTGCATTCCCACTGCGTATTTCTCTGGGAGCAGTTCGGTCCCGGATTTCCCCCATTGGATTGAGCCCCTACTTCCTGGGTCTCCCTCTCTCTGCGTTGCCATTGGAGACCTGGGTTGAGTTCTTGCTCTGTCACTCCATTCACCGAGCATCCGTTGTTGCTCCCACACAGTGCTGGGCATGGGGACACAGACGAGCCTGCCCTGGCCCCTGCCCTCAGGTGGGCTCACTGTCTAATAGAACCTGCTAGACTTTGTCACTTTCCGCTCCTGGGACCACAGGCACACTTTATCAAGCTCACTGGGCCTCATTAGTCTCATATGCAAAACGGAGCTGTGCATATGAGAAAAAGTGGTACATGATGGTCCATTGGGAGGAACTGTGGGCTCTGTTCTCTCTACTGGGGCCCTCACCTAAGGGGCCAGGCCCCCATGTTCAGAGTGGCCTGTCCCTTGGGAAGCCTCCTAATGCCAATCACCGCCCCCTACCGCCCACCACCAACCCTGATTACTATTGGTCAAAACTGGAACAGGCAGATATCCTTGCCCACGGATCTTTCTTAAAGGGACAAACAAAATCCAGTGTTCTTGTCACACCTTTTTCCCAAGAAATCAGCTGAGAGTTGGAGCCACAGGATAAGTTGGAGCTGGCCCTGGGACGCCTTGGGGCATGAGAACGAAAGCCACGTGGTGCCTTAGGCAGGCCAGGCATGGAGTCTCAGCCTTGGCTTTGCTCTTCCCTGCAGGTGACCTTGGCCAAGCTCCTGCCCTTTGAGGTCTCAGGCTCCCCCTCTGTGAGAGGTGTTGGCCTTGGTGACCTGACATCAGGGCTGATGCTCTGTGGACTCGTGTGTGGCTCCCCCCTTTCCTCAGCCTCTTGCCAATGGTTGTGTAATAATTTTCAGCTGTACTTAGCACCGATCCGTCCTCTCTTCCTTCTCGGTGGGGCTCTTTGCTCTTTGCCACCAGAGCAGCTCGGCTGGCACAGAGACCATCCCTTCCCTCAGCAGAGGTGGGGCTCATGTGTTAGCAGCAGCCATCGGGACTGCTGGCTGCCTGGGAGAGGAGTGGGCAGTGCCTGGGTATAGGCAGGATTTTTGGAGAGGAGACTATGAAAGACTCTGAGCTTAGAATCCTCTGTTTGTCCATCTGCCTCGTTTCACGGATGGGCCTACTGAGGAGGCCCAGGGAGGAGAGCCTGCCCCAAGTTCACAAAGCAAGTCAGTGTCTGGCTGGCATAGGAACCAAGACTGTCTGCTTCCGGACCCAGGTTCTCAGTCCCATGTTTCTCTCTGCCACCGCGCCCTGCGGTGTGAGCTCAGGCAAATCTCTGCTCTTCTCTGGTTCTGAGGTGCCTCCTATAGGGTCCCAGGGTGGCACAGGCCTATCTGAGTGCCTTTCCTGCCCCGACAGGGTGTGAGGAGTGACTGCCAGGAACGTGTTCCAGGCTCACATGGCCAGCCCCTGGGACTGAGACTTTGCCCTAGGAAACACGGGACACAAGAGTGGCATGTCAACAGAGCCTTTATCAGCAATGTCCTCTCTGCAGGATGGACACTCTGTCCAGCCTGAGGGGCGGAGAGTGTGGCACCCAGAGACCAAAGCTGTGCCAGATGCCTGCATTCTCCGGGGCACTGCACAGTGCTCCAAGGCACCTCGTTTCACCAAATGCCCCGCCAGGCAGGGGCTGGGGAGACGGGGAAAATGATTGAAAGAGCCACCGGGTGACACATCTACATCCTAGGCCTGATTGGCTTCATTGGAGTTTGTCTCAAGAGAATAATCAGCCCAGCCTCTGGGGCTCTCTGAGTGTCAGCCCATGCACCAGGAGGTTGCTGGTTCAGTTCCCGGTTAGATGTTTCTAACCCTCTTCCTTCCTCTCTCTGAAACCAATAAAAAACATATATTTTGTAAAAAAAAAAAAAAAAAAAATCTTTATTGTTGAAAGTATTACATGTGTCCTCCTTGTTTCCCCATTGACCCCTTCTAGCCCATCCCTGAATAAAAACATATTTTAAAACATGATAGACATGTAGATAAAAATAAGGTATTTGTGGAAGCATTATTTTTTCTTTTTTAAATAATTCTTTATTGTTGAAAGTGTTACATATGTCCCCCTTCCCTCTCCTCTATTTACCCTCTCCTGCCCCCCCCCCCCAGGCCTTCAGCACCCTATTGTCTGTGTCCATGGGTTATGCACTCTAGGTCTTTGGTTGATTATCTCCCACCCACCCTCTCCTGCCTTCCCTTTGAGATTCCACACTCTGTTCCATATGGAAGCATTATTTCTGAGGGGAGTTTTGGAAGCTTTTTAAAGGTCCATCCGTAGGGGTTTGATTATAGTCCCATTACATGTAGCATGGCCGCATGATAGAATAATACAGCCATGGGAAGATACTTTACTGAGGAATTTCGATAAGGAAAAATAGATAGGGTATGATAATACTTGTTTGGAAATTATATAAAAATGATACCAACCATATGTGATTTTGTCATTTAAAAAAAAAAAGTATGTGTATGTTTGAGTAGAAAAAGGACTCAACCCAGAGTGATTTAGCTTGCTAGAGGTATGACAGATGCTTTTGGTTTTCTTTTCTCTTTTTTAATTTTCTGTATTTTGAAAATTCTCTGTGATAGTCATTATTTTTCTAATCAGGAAAAAAAAAGTGATGCTTTCTGAACAAAATACCAGTATTGCCCACCCCTCTCTTCACCTTCCCTCCATCGTGTTTGTTGTACTGCTGGGTAGGTGCCTCTTGTTGCTCAGGGTTTAGGGAAACTTTACACCAGCCATCCCACCATCTAACTCTAACCCCCAGGGCAGGAGGCAGCCCCTGAGGAAGCCAGTCATTCCTCAGACCTTCCCGGGGCAGGTTTGTTGAAAGTACCGCAGGTCAGCTGTCCCGCTGCACAGCTGACCTCCCACCACCACTGTGGCTGGCACAGAGCTGTTCTTGCCCTTGTCCTCCGGCCTCAGAGCCCCAGTAGAAGCTGGCTGCCTGGAAGGAAGTTTCCACTCAGGCAGGCTGCACTGTCTCTTCTCCGGCCAGAGGGACTTGGACTTGACCCCAGTGGGAACTAGAGAGGTACAGGGATTGCATTGGGTTTTAGAATAGTCACTCTGCTGTGGAGAGGAGGATGGCCCAGGGGGAGGGAAGACAGGAGGCTAGCTGAGTGCAAAGAAGAGGACCTGGAGTATCTGGCTGGAGAAATAAGGGGATCAGGGAGAAATTTCCCCTCCCCCCTGGGACTTGCAGTCCAAATGGCAGCCAACGAGCACCTGGCACTGTGACCCCAGTGGTGAGGAGTCTGAGGTCAGGTGTGGAGAGTCACTCCAGTCCTTGAGGCCCAGAGTCCCAGGGGGGATGGCAAACCCAGTCTGTCCTTGACCTTCTGGGTGTGCCTCAGGGCCTCGTCCTCTCCCTCCCCCCGGCCAGTTTCCACTCACCCAAGCTTTTCCCTGCAGCTGGTGAAGACCCACAACCTGCTGACCACCAGGAACTACATCTTCGGATACCACCCCCATGGCATCATGGGTCTGGGTGCCTTCTGCAACTTCAGCACAGAGGCCACGGAAGTGAGCAAGAAGTTCCCCGGCATAAGGCCCTACCTGGCCACGCTGGCTGGCAACTTCCGGATGCCAGTGCTGAGGGAGTACCTGATGTCCGGAGGTGAGACTCCATGGCTGCCTATCCTTACTGTGCCCCGCTGAGCCAGATGACAGATTGTCCAGGAAGCCCATACACCACCCTAGACCCGTGCTGAGAGGTGCAGCCTGCTGCAGGCACTATGGGTCAGGGCCAAGCAGGAGAGCTGTGCATAAGTCTTCAAGATTCAACCTGGGTAGTATCTTCCCTAGGAAGCCTTCTCTGGCCCCTTTTCTGGGTACCCCAGCCCCGTGCTCTCCTCTGCATAACCTGATTGTTGTCCATGGCACTATCATTCTCTCCCCCACCCCCACCGTGACCCCCAGCAGCCTGATGTACTGGGCTTCCCAGCACCTGGCATCAGCCTGGTAGACTTAAGACCTCAGGCAGTATTTGCTAAGTGAATGAATTACCTAAACAACCTTATATTGTTATCCCCATTTTATAGACAAGTAAGCCAAGGCTCAGAAAAAGAATAGCTTAGGTAGGGCCATGCAACTTTGAAGGTTAGGTCTCGGGCCCAAGTTTGCTTATACATGTGGGGGGTAGGCAGTGCCCCCAGAGGCAGCCCCGATGGCGTGTCTTCTCCTCCTCCCCCCAGGCATCTGCCCTGTGAACCGGGACACCATAGACTACTTGCTTTCAAAGAACGGGACCGGCAATGCCATCATCATCGTAGTGGGGGGCGCAGCTGAGTCCCTGAGCTCCAGGCCCGGCAAGAATGCGGTCACCCTGCGCAGCCGCAAAGGCTTTGTGAAACTGGCCCTGCGGCATGGGTAAGTGCCTCCGTGCACACACACACACACACACACACACACACGTACACACTATCAGCAGCTCCGTAAACACACACACACACACACACACACACACACACACACACGTACACACTATCAGCAGCTCCGTAAACACACACACACACATACACGTACACACTATCAGCAGCTCCATAAACACACACACACACACATACACGTACACACTATCAGCAGCTCCGTAAACACACACACACACACACACACACACACACACACACACACGTACACACTATCAGCAGCTCCATAAACACACACACACACACATACACGTACACACTATCAGCAGCTCCATAAACACACACACACACACACACACACACATACACGTACACACTATCAGCAGCTCCGTAAACACACACACACACATACACGTACACACTATCAGCAGCTCCGTAAACACACACACACATACACGTACACACTATCAGCAGCTCCCTGGCTCCTGGAGGCCCAGACGCCAGGAAGGCATAGAAGAGAGCTCACTGTCCTGTGGTGGGGGAGGGGGCTTGGAGCCCAGAGGTTCAGGCCAAGTTGTCCAAGAATAGCCTTGGCGTCTGACTAGGGCAAAGGGGAGGCCTGTGTCCCCTGAGCCCTCACAGGGGGGCTGAGAGGGCAGGACCATGCATAGGACAGTGCCCTGGAGCCAAAGCCGTCATGCTACCTGCAGAAGTGAGGGCGTTGTGGTTGGACACAGCAGGGAGGCTTCCCCGAAGGGTGATGCGAAGGGCAGGTGGAGAGGAGCTGGCCAGCTTGGGTGTTTGTGACCTTTTCTAGAAAGCCAGAGACGTTCTGTGTAGCCACCTGTTCAGCACATGTCACTAGACAAAGCACACTCACTTCTCAGTCCCCTGGGATGCCACAGCCACCCTGCCGGTGGTGACGTCCTACTTTCCACGTGAGGAAGCCGAGCCAGGCTAAGTGGCCCAGTAGGGGTCACGTTGTAAAATGCAGAGCTAAGCTCTCTGGACTCCAGGTGCTCTGTTTGCTTCCCTTCTCTGTGCTCTGGGCAACCCCAGGAGGAGGGCTTTGGAGTGACAGGCCTCTAGCAATGGCAGACCTGGAGCGGGAGAGGATGCAGCCTACAGTCACCCACAAGTTAGGGATGGCACTAACCGTTTGGGCCCCACCCACTGCTCCTCTCTGTCCTCTCAGGGCCTTACCCCAGGCTCTAGGAGAGGCTGCTCTTCAGGCCCAGCCTGTGCCAGGCTCTGGGCACCCGACCATTCAGACCCAGTCCCTGTGTTCAGGGCAGGGGCCAGTATGAAGGGACAGACAGCGACAACACGGTGTGCTGAGGACTGTGACACGGAACTGATAGAGGCCTCGGTTGGGTATGGGACAGGGAGAACGTTCCAGCAGAGGCACGCCTCAGGGATGAGAGAGAACAGGCATGCTAGAGCAGGGCTCGCCACCTTCCCTTTGCCTAGTGCTACCAAAGCCCTGACATGCTCCCCCGTCACTAGCCGGGGGGCAGAGGGGACACATGTTGGGGACCCCCCGGGTGGCTCCCGCACAGCCCTGTAGGAGGGGAGCTCGGCTAGTGTCCAAGGCCTCTAGGACTGACAGGAGGAACCGAAGCCAGTGACTGGGGAGTGACAGGCCTGGCCTCTCCCTTCCAGAGCCGACCTGGTTCCCACCTACTCCTTCGGAGAGAATGAGGTCTACAAGCAAGTGATCTTCGAGGAGGGCTCCTGGGGCCGGTGGGTCCAGAAGAAGTTCCAGAAGTACATTGGCTTCGCCCCGTGCATTTTCCATGGCCGAGGCCTCTTCTCCTCCGACACCTGGGGGCTGGTGCCCTACTCCAAGCCCATCACCACTGTTGGTGAGTCTCCCTGCGTGAAGACCCTGAGCTTGGGGGGCCACAGCTAGCTAGTGGTGGAGTTAGGACTCAAATCCAGGCCGCCTGGCTCTGATGTCCATGCTCTAAAGTCCAGTGTTTCCCAAAGGGTGATACGTGTACCCCCAGGGGTACGGGAAGAATTTGGTGGGGGTATGCGTTGCACCGGAGTTTGGTGGGGGTATGCGTTGCACCGGAGTTTGGTGGGGATTAGCTGCGCCTAATTCTGCGTTCTCATGAATACGAGGGGTACTCAGCGTTACGAAAATTATAGAAGGGGTCCACATATGCCAAAAGTTTGGGAAACACTGCTAAACCATGAGGACATGTGGGGGCTGCCCTGGGGGGATTATTGGTGGAGGTGGGGTTAGGGTGAGGGGGTGAAGTGTTATTCCTGTGAGCCAAGCTGTGCTCACAAACCAAGACCCAGCAGTGGTGTGCTTGCAGAGCTGGGCAGTCTCTCAGGGAAGATCCCGTTAGAGCAAAGGTCAGCAGAGGGTGTGAGTGGGGTGTGCGGCATGCTCTGGGGGTCATAGTGGACCGCAGTGAGGAGGTGACTCTTAGACTGTGAGCTGAATAGGAATTACCCAGCAAAAGAGGTGGGAGGAGGGAGTTTCTGTCAGACACAGAAGCCTAAGTGAAGTCCCTGAAGCAAGACTGTGTAGGGTTTTGAAAGAAAACATGACGAGAGCAGAGTCCTGTGAAAAGTGTTGCAAAAAACTGGCTGCACTTGGCCTTCAGCTATGTTGTGTTGGGTTTATTTGAGATCATGTAGAGTAGGGGTGTCGAACTCAATCAGAGAAGGGGCCAAAATCTAAAATCCAGCCTAAATCGCGGGCCGAATGGTTTACTGAACAGTCATAAACTGTCATTGTGATGGAAACGCAGCGGAGTGCAGTGATGGCAGCGCGGTGCGGGCCACATTGCAAGGCCTGGTGGGACGGATTTGGCCCGTGGGCCTTGTGTTTGACACATTGTAGAGGGTTCCAAAGACTTATCTCTTGTAGGGAGGGTGTGTGTTAATGGTTCACAAGCTGGAGTTTACACGGGAGCCTGTGGGCCACAAGCTGTGGACTGGAGGGGCCAAAGCTCACATAGACCCTTTGAATGATCAGAGCCAGGTATTCTGTTTGGTACTTGACACAGAGACTGACTTCCACATGACCTAGACTCTCCCATCCATCTCTGCTCTCCGTGAGGCAGCAGAGACATTTTCATGCTTGGGGTGTCTGGCCAGGGATGGGGTCCTGTGGGCATTGTGAAGGAACTGTTTTTTACTTTAGTAGTGGGAAGCTGAGATGCTGTGGTGAGGGTGATTTAGCCTATTTGCTTGGGAACTGAGCAGGTGTTAAGGAGAAAGGCGGAGTGCCATGGGATTTGTCTGTGAACCTCCCCCTCGCAAACAGAGCACAGAGGACCAGTGCAGGTGACCCGCGTAGAGGAAGACAAGGTTATGGTATTGATGGATGGGTCTCTGAAGCTGGTGACGCCAGAGGGGGGCCCAGTCAGGGGGCTTCGAACTCCAGAGGTCCCCATGATGGAAGCTGTGGAGGCCGTGGTGATGGTCCGCGGATGGCTCCAGGCCTTCTGAAAGCATGGTGTGCAGGTGTGGGCTCTAGGCTCTGACCAGCTGCTTCAGGAGCTGAGAGACCCCACCCTCACCTTCCATCTGCTTGGCTCTCCCAGCCTGTGGTGGAGGGGAGAAGCCCAGGAGATGATCAAACTGCTCCTAGCAACCTCTACATTTAGGAGTGAGTCCTTGGAGCTGGAGCTGGGGGGGGGGGGGGTAATTAGGAACCACTCCCTGCACCCTCCTTCCCAATAGATACTTGTTAGTGGTCACAATATGCCCTTTTATCCCAATAAACATTCAGCCTCAGGGAGATATATATATATATGGTTTGGAGGAGGGAAGGTTCTGATTTGCATTTTAAAGTGATCCTTGGGACTTCTGGATAGAAAATGGATTAGAAGGGGCAAAATTGGAAGCCATAAGACCACTCCAGAGGCTTTTGGGTAGCCGGTGGCTTAGTTGAGGGAATGGCAGTGGAGATAGAAGAGAACTTGGGAGAAATTTCGGAAATGTCTTTGACAGAACTTGGTGATGAGTTGGGTATGGAGATGAAATAGGATTAGGAGATAAAACAGTGCCCAGAAGTATGAATGTTGGTCTCCTCTTCCTCTCCCGCCTTCACCCCCCTTCTTAAACCATGCCATGATTCACAGAATCCTCACAAAGCGCCCTCGCGCCCCCCCCCCCCCCCCCCAGGAAGGATCGCTGTGTGACAGGCGAGGAAACGAAGGCTCAGAGAGGCAAAGTGACTTGCCCAGGGCTTTTCCAGGAGCTCCCAGCTGAGTGCCGTGGGTGCAGACAGGCCTCGTGAGCCCCATTATCACTTAGTGGCCCCGAGGCCTTGGGCAGGTCCCTTCCCATGCCATTGGGCCTCAGTCCTCTCCTCTGCCAAAGGACATCCTAGGACAGAACACCTTCAGCACAGTGCCCGGCACATGGTGGGCACGTAGCACGGGGTCACTGCCCTCAGCATCATGGTCAGCGCCCAGGGAGGGCGGGCCCACCGGCACAGACTAACCAGCGGCCTCTGCCCCTTCCCCGCAGTGGGTGAGCCCATCACCATTCCCAAGCTGGAGCACCCGACCCAGCAGGACATCGACCTGTACCACGCCATGTACATGGAGGCCCTGGTGAAGCTCTTCGACAAGCACAAGACCAGCTTCGGCCTCCCGGAGACCGAGGTCCTGGAGGTGAACTGAGCCCGCCCACCCGCCCGCGGGCCCACGGCCTGCCAGGAGGAGCCCGCTGCCAGTCGTTTTCTACCAAGTCCTCGAGTGCTTTTTGTTCTGTAAATTTGCAAGTGTCATGGGTGTCTGTGGGTTATTTAAAAGAAATTATAATAATTTTGTTAAACCATGAAAACCTTAGGTCTTTTTTTAGGAAGGAAAGTGCTTGGACGTTTCAGGCTTTTTTTTTTTTTCTTTTTTTTCTTTTCCCCCCCACTTCCCGTCTGTGCTGTTCTCGGTGGTGGCTGACACCTCTGGGCCTTTTATAGCTTCTCAACCAGCCCCTCTTCTTCCATTCCTGAAGTCACGGAGAAAGCGCAGTCCGGGCTGCCCGGGGAAGCAGGACGAGCCATTGGGGACCCGGGCCAGTGAGATGATTTGCTCTTTGCCCCTGGAGGGCAAGGAGCAGAAGCCGCTTCTGACACAAACACCTCTCTTCCCGGCTACCCTGACTTGCCTGCAGGACTAGTCCCTCCTGCCCAGGGAAAACACAGCGGTCCCTGTTTTGGAGAGTGCAGGGATGAACATCTGGACTGTTCCAGCTTGATTCTCCTCTCTGCCGCTTCCCCCAGCCCCAGACTGGCCTCTGCAGAGACGCTGGGGATGGCGGTGAGCCTGTGCCGGGAGCAGGGCTGTCCCGGGCACACCATCGCGTGGATTACCCAGCTACCACGTCTGGTTGGAGTGACCGGTTTTCCTCAGAGTGCTGGGGACGTGGACCCGGCACCGACCAGGCCGTGGCCGGAAGCCTGTACTTTCCCCGGTGGCCTCGTTCTGCTGAGCCCACACCCCCACGTGGAGGGGTGAGGAAGGGCCCCTCTTCCTGTTCGCCGCGGAGCCTGGCCTTCGGAGCATCAGACTGGCTTCCGGATGGGAGGCCCCCTCACCCCCCTCAGGTGTGTGTGCCTTTTTGGGGAGGATGGGGGCCGGGGAGGAAACCCAGCCTTTCTTCCGTGTGTTCTGTTTTCTCTTGACGAGATCATTGTACCATGTCAGACTTTTGTATATTCCTAAACAGATAAATAAAAATGAGCGTCCTCTGAGTTCTTGCCGGGGACAACATCTGACACCTGGGGAGACCATAGCTACCTGCCCAGGCCCCTTCCCCTCGCTCCGTTGGCCCACACGGCCCGGTGTGATGCATCATCTGTTGCCGTGTAACAAATTAGTCCAACACTGAGTGGCCTCAAACACTGTCCACAGCTTTTATAACCTAATCTCAGAAGTGATCACCTGTCACGTTTGCCGTATTCTCTTCGTTAGGTACAAATCCTGAGGCCCAGGTCACACTCAGGAAGGTTACAGACGGAGTGACTACCGGGATGTAGGGGGCCTTGGAGCCCCTCACAGCCTCCTGCCACAGGCGCTAAAGGGCTGCTCCAGCGGCAGGGTCCTGGCAAGGCTGAGCTGGAAAGGCCCTTAGGGATGGCTCACACGGTGGTCCTTGCCCCTGGCCTAAGTTATACCCCGAAGGGGTCATTTCATGCCACATCCAGGTCTTAGGAGATGCCATCTCTATTCTGATTCCATTCAGTTCAGTGAGTGCTAAGCCCCTAGGAACCCTTCTGGGCAAGGTGAGACTAAAAGACCTCATTCCAACTTCCCAACTGCCTAGAAGCCTGTCCCCGCCACTCACCCACCCCAGGGACTGCTCCTGTTTCAGAAGCTGTGAGTGGGCTCCTTGGGAGCAGGAACAAACATTGGAAATAGCTGAGGATATGCAGGGTGGTCAGACCTGTGACTAGATGCCCTTACCCCAGCCTGGGGTGCCTCATGGAACTGGAAACCCGAAACCTGGGCCATGATGCAAAAGGTGACTGGACATTTGCCAAGAAGGAGTGGAGGGGCAGAGCAGTAAATGTTGACAGAGGAGCCAGCCCTGCTGATTTGAGGGGTTGAGAGGTGGCAGTGGAGAGGTGTCCAGAGGTCTGCCATGAGGCTTCGCTCGGAAGGGTGAAGGGAGCTGGCTTCTCCAGAGTCTCTGGGTGGGCAGGAGAGCAGGTGGAGAAAGGAGGTGCCTTGGAAAGGCCATAAAGACCAGGTCAGAGGACTGACACTTCCTGTAGGATAGAGGAAAGGCCTGTATTATGAGTCTTGGCCCCATCCCAGCCCCAGGCAGAGGCTAGCCATGACCCTCAGCCTCTGGCTCCAGGTAAGTCCTGGTTTTAACCTTGATCACCCCACAAACGTAGGCCATTCCTTTCCATATTAATTTTTGGAGGTTGAACACCTGCACATGAGGGCACTCCACCAGCTGCCTAAGGAAGAGAATAACTGGCCCCAAATGTCAGAGGGGTCCCCTCGCCCAGCACGGTGTATGTCCAGCAGGGCCTGTGCAGAGCAGAGGCCAGCTACACTTTAAGTTGTGGGTGGAGAGCCCTAGGCAAATGCTGTGAGCATTGCCTCGGGCTGGGGGTCGTTACCTTGGGAGAAGGAACTGGAAGTTACTTTTCCAGAAGTTCCTCTGCCTTTGGACCCTGGAGGTTGGGTCCCAGTTTCAGCCTGAAGGTCAATTCCGTGATTCTGTTTGTGCTCCCCAGATATGGCCACAAGGGGGCACTGCAGATGGTTCTGAGGCAAATTTCCTTGTAGCTTCCTAAGTTTACACGGTTTGACCCTTATCCAGCTCAACCCCTGGGCTAGAAGCTAGAGATTGTAAAATCACAGACTCACAAGACCGCAAAGCTAGACAGGGGCTGAAGAGGCAGGAGGGACCCTCCCCTGGAGAGCACAACCCAGACACCCTGATTTCATATTTTGGCCCTGGAACAGGGAGAGCACGTGTTCCTGTTTGTTTAGGCCAGTCCACAGTCATCCAAGCAGTAGCTTCTGCAAATACAACCCTCTTTGCCCCTCCTTTTGGGACTTTTGGGCTCTGGGGACAGCAGAGCCCTGTGCTCTGGCAGGGGAGACCCCCTAAGACCTCTCACTGCACGGCTCACAGGGAGATCCATCCTTGTGTCCGTGCCTCAGCCCTGTCTCCCGCTCCCCCAGGGCACCTGGGCAGTGACAGTGCAGTGGGCACACCAGGGCAGGCTGCTTGGTGGGTGGGCAGTGCAGGCTATATGGCTCAGGGACTTCTCCCCTTGCCAAGCCCCCAGCTGCAGGGTGATGCAGGGTACTCCCCAGCCCGACCTGACCTCCCAGGCCTAACCCCTGTGAGTCCAGCCTGGGGCTCTGCTTCCTGGAGCATCTAGGTTGACAGGAGCCAGCAACTGGGTTGTCTTGCCCATATTCTAGATGCCAAAACTGAGGCTCAGGGGAGCAAAGGTCCCTAGCCTCAGCCCATCTCCCCCTCAAGTCAGCCCAGCTCACAGGGGACTACCCCAGCTGCCTCCTGGTTGCCATGGTGTCAGAAGAGGAGGAGGAGGAGATTTCTGAAAAGCAATAAAAATTTACACACCAGCTGGCCCCTTCTTCCTCACTCCCTTTCTCCAGCTTCAAAGCCTTCTTTAGTGCAGGTAAGCTGAGGGGGAGGGGGGGGGGCGGGCTCTTCCTGGCCAGGCAGCTGGGAGCAAAGGTCAAGGAGGCAGAAGGTTCAGGGTACTGGGTTCTGGGAGCCCAGCAGATTTCCTGGGCCTGGGCTCCATGCCCTCCCAGAGTTCCCAGACCAGGTGGGCTGCTTCCTGCCTCTCTGCTTTTGCACATGCAGTTCCCTCCATCCTTCCAATCCCAGCTCGGCTTTAACTCCACTGGAGAACCTTCCCTCAGTCACTTGTGGCTCCCGATGCCTCCTGCACACACCCCAGTCAGTCACCGCTGCTTTCTTGATGCTCTCACGGGGCTGTGAGGTCTAGGGGATGTTAGCTTTGCCTTTGCACCTCAGCCCCTGCACAGACAGGTGCTCAGTAAATCCGGAAGGAAGAGAAGGCGGGAGGGAGGAAGGGAAGGGAGCAAAGAAACACCTCTCCTAGGATTGGAGAGTATCTGGACAGTGAGCACCTGGCCCAGGGCTGGGCATGGAGCAAAGCCCACTCACTCCCTGCCGCCTCCACTTGAGCCTGGGCTCCAGCACCTTCTGCCTCATCTGGTTTGGAGCCAGCTCAGGGATGTCTCCATCTCCACAGCCCTGTGTGTCTGTTGCCCATTAGGAGGCAAGGTAATCACACCAGGATGCAGATGTGCACATATAAGGAGCTAGTGTATTAGGGAGAAAAACCTCCATTCCCTGAAATCCCTGACTGTGCTGAACTTGAGGGCCTGAGGGTTTTCACACTGAATGCTTTCAGCAAACAAAGGCTTACCTGACACCATTCTATACAACAGATAGAAACTAAGCTGCTTGGGGAGAAGGTGGGTGTTGTAGGAGACTGGGAGACAGGACCAGAGTCCTCTTTCCCCAGTAGCTCTGGGTCCCGGGGAGTGGGCGTGGGGCTTAGGGTTGGTCCTGGTGGTGGGATGGGCAGAGAGGGAGAGCCCGGGGAGAGCCCAGTGGCCGGCATTTACTAACTGGTACAGAGGGCCTCAGCATTTCCAGAACTGCGTGCTTATGCCAGTGTGGCTGGGCCAACCAACTCATCTTTCACAGCACGAAGTCAGTCTGTACAAACAGAAATGAAAGTATGTCCTTGGGGAAAAAAATCATAATGACTTCAACCTTTAATGTCCTCCTAGTTTCTTTCTTTCTTTTTAATCTGGAAGGGATATTTTAGGGGAAGTATCTCTTGTCTAGAGGAAATATTTATATGCATTCAGCAATTCTATCAACTTCTCTTTCTTTTTCTTTTGTGAAATGCAAGTAAAATTAAATTTAAAACTGTATCAAAAAAAGCTAGACAGTAATTTAGCGTTTATCTAGAGCAATTCCTCTTAATCTGGGAAACTTGACACAGAAAGACAAGGGACTTACCTCTAAGCACACTGCAAATTAATATTTACCACATGCCTCCTCTTGACAGGGAATGAGGGGCTTCCAAATGGAATGCCCCCTGTTCTTAGGTGTTTGTCATATAATAAGGGACTCAGAAATTTAAAAAATATATATTTTATTGATTTTCTACAGAGAGGAAGTGAGAGGGATAGAGAGTTAGCAACATCCATGAGAGAGAAACATCGATCAGCTGCCTCTTGCACACCCCCCACTGGGGATGTACCCACAACCAATGCACATGCCCTTGACCGGAATCGAACCTGGGA